AAAAACTGACCTCAAAGTGAAGTGGATGAAAGGTTAGAAGCTAGCAGCATTTCCTGGAGGTCAGGAAGAACTAGGCAGAGGTCTTAAACACAGAAGAAATACAGAAAACACGTTTGAACCATAAGTGTGTTTAGTTTTCAATACATTCAGTGTAATAATATACTATAAATGGTTTGATGTTTTTTAGCTACATTTCTGCCTGACGGCTCATTATCAGAGTTTTAACTTTGTTTTTTATTACACTGCTTGCCCTGCCCTGCCTGATAGGCAACAATAAATGCTGTGACAGGTTAAAGTTCACGACGTCGTACACCAGAGTTCCACTATTTCCAATAGTGTCACAGCAATGATGCATCAGTTTAAAGCCAGTGATTATGTTGTCTGTTTTAACCAATTTTTATTCATTGCAATTTCCTCTTTACATAAATCATAAATATGATTTATGTAAAGAGGATGTAAATTCAAACTCATATTTGTTTATTAATGGAGTTTTAATTTATTTTTGTTATACATTGTGACACAAAAAATGAATCTGTTTCAAGCAACTGATTCAGTAGCCTCGTGAGACCATCCTGATCTCCTGAGTTTTCAAGGTTTCGCTCGCTAATCAGTCTGGAGACTCTCCGTTAAAGAAAGTTTGGAGCCGTTCACCAAACGAACGTCCAATCAGCGTTGGCTTTGAGGCGAGTGAGGTGTGACGCAACGAGAAGCGCGACAGTTCAGTCTAAAGAACATGGCGGCTTCAGCCGATGAAACTAGCGTTAGCGTGGCTATCGAGCAAGTTTTACCGGAATTACAGAGTATTTCTTCACTGAAAGAAGAGCAAAACACTGCTCTGGTGGCTTTTCTCAGAGGAAAAGATGTTTTTGCTCTTCTCCCGACTGGTTTCGGCAAGAGTTTGATCTTGTGGTTGTGTTTTCGTTGTTGCTCTGTTAGAAGGTCATATGCTTCGTTGATCTGATTGGTTTATTTGGCCCGTCTATCACCAACATCGGCCAACCAGCTAACCAGTATTTTCGCCCCTTCCCAAAATTACTTCAACGGAAGGTTTCCAGATGGATATGCGGAGCAAATCCATCTGGAGTCAGGTTACTGATTCAGAAGATGACAAAAAGAATATTCTGATAACAATTCATAATCAATCAGCATTTCAAGCCTAAATTGCAACTTCTCACATTAATTGTTAATTTCTTAGAAAAATATCCATATTCAATTTCAATTCAGTTTATTTATATAGCGCCAAATTCACAACACATGTCATCTCAAGGCACTTTACAGTTCAACCAGATCATACAGTCAAATCGATACAAAGTTTTCTATCTAAGGAAAACCAGTTGATTGCATTGACTCATTGACTCAAATACAATCCCCCACACTAAGCATGCTTGTAGCGACAGTGGAGAGGAAAAACTCCCTTTTAACAGGAAGAAACCTCCAGCAGAACCAGGCTCAGTGTGAGCGGCCATCTGCCGAGGCCGACTGGGGTTCAAGGAGACAGAAGCAGAGATACAAAAAGCAGCTGTAAAAGGCGGCCCCGTCCAGGAAACACACAGGCAGACGAGCTCCAAGGCAGCTCCCATGCCAGAGGACGAAGAGAGCACATCCACTCAGTCATGGTCAGAGAAACAGGACCACACTGGAAAACAGGCCGATCTCCAACATCTATAAACAAGGGTGTTGATAGAAGCAGCACAGCTGATGTTTCTTTCCAGGATGACGTCACAGCCAAACAGGAACAGACGAGGCAAAGCTACTCTGAGGAAAAGCAGAGAGAGCAGAAGGTTAGAGATTGAACTAACAGATTCTGCAGAATAGGAGAACAGAGAGAGAATGAAGCAGAATGATGAAATGGGGGTCCCTATGTCCTCCAAAAGTCTAAGCCTATAGCAGCATAACTATAGAGATAGCTCAGGATAACCTGAGCCACTCTAACTATAAGCTTTATCAAAAAGGAAAGTTTTAAGCCTAGCCTTAAAAGTAGACAGGGTGTCTGCCTCACGGACTAAAACTGGTAGTTGGTTCCACAGGAGAGGAGCCTGATAACTAAAAGATCTGCCTCCCATTCTACTTTTAGAAATTCTAGGAACCACTAGTAAACCTGCAGATTGAGAGCGAAGTGCTCTGTTAGGAACATAAGGAACAATCAGATCTCTGATATAAGATGGAGCTTGGCCATTTAAGGCTTTATATGTGAGAAGGAGGATTTTAAATTCTATTCTTGATTTAACAGGAAGCCAATGAAGAGAAGCCAGGATAGGCGAGATATGATCTCTCTTTTTAATTTTCATTAGAACTCTTGCTGCAGCATTTTGGATCAGCTGAAGGCTTCTAACTACAGTTTGTGGACTTCCTGATAGTAAAGAATTACAATAGTCTAGCCTTGAAATAACAAATGCATGGCCTAGTTTCTCAGCATCACCCCTGGACAGGATATTTCTAATTTTTGCAATGTTCCTCAGATGAAAGAAGGAAATTCTAGAAACCTCTTTGATATAGGATTTAAATGACAGGTCCTGATCAAAAATAACACCAAGATTTTTTACTTTATTATCTGAAATCAGTTTAATCCCATCCAAATGAAGTGACTGGCTAATCGGTTTCTTTTTCAGAGACTCTGGTCCAAAGACTATAACTTCTGTTTTGTCTGCATTCAGAAGCAGAAAGTTAAGAGTCATCCAGGTTTTTATGTCTTCAAGACATGCCTGTAATCTATGTAATGGGTTATTAGCTGGGTATCATCAGCATAACAGTGGAAATTAATCCCATGCTGTCTAATAACTCTACCAATTGGGAGCATGTATAAAGTAAAGAGAATTGGTCCTAGCACTGATCCCTGTGGTACTCCACAGGTAACCTTTGAGCGTGTTGAAGATCTATCGTTAACATGAACAAACTGAATTCGATCAGATAGATAAGATTTAAACCAGTCTAGTGCTGTTCCTTTAATTCCAACAAAATATTCAAGTCTTTCTAAAAGAATATTATGGTCAACTGTATCAAATGCAGCACTAAGATCCAACAGGACGAGCACAGATACAAGTCCATTATCTGAGGCCATGAGAATATCATTAGTGACTTTCACCAGAGCTGTTTCAGTGCTATGATGAGCTCTAAAGCCAGACTGAAACTCTTCAAAAAGTTCATTATGGTGTAAGTGACCGCACACTTGTTTGGCAACTACTTTCTCAAGAATTTTGGATAAGAAAGGAAGATTGGATATAGGTCTATAATTGACCAAGTCATCTGGGTCAAGAGACGGTTTCTTAAGCAGAGGTTTAACTACAGCAACCTTAAAAGCTTTAGGTACATATCCCTGTAACAGAGATAGATTAATCACATCTAAAATGGAGGAGGAGATCAAAGGGAATACCTCCTTAAATAACCTGGTTGGAACTGGATCTAACATACAAGTTGAAGGCTTAGATGAAGATTTTGCTGAATTTTGCTTATTCAGAAAGTTCAACTGCATCAAAGCAGTCTAAACCCGGTTCAGATTCCATGACTACCTCAGGTACAATCGCGGATAGAGGAGTGCTTATGATCTTATTTTTAATAAGATCAATCTTATTTATAAAGAATCCCATAAAATCATTGCTGCTAAGAGCAGGTGGAATGGACGGTTCAACAGAGCTATGGCTCTGGGTGAGTTTGGCAACTGTATTAAAAAGAAATCTAGGATTACTCTTATTCTCCTCTATTAATGAGGAGAAGTATGCTGCTCTTGCTTTACAAAGGGTCCTCTTATACAGCAGTAAACCATTCCATATCAAACCAACTTTGGTCACAATCAACTTATTAAGTTGTTTTTTCCTTATGAAACAGGGCATGACATTTTCAAGTAAGAGGTGATGCATTACTGCTGGTTTTGCAGAGAATCAAAGCTTTTGTTGTTGATACACTAACACTGTTTGTGTGATCTAAAAATCAGACTATATTTCTAACCATATAGTGACACGTATCCTGCACACAGAAACACATCTCCCAGGGTTTACTATATGTGACATAGAACTGTATACATATGTAAGAATTTTCTCAAAGTGTTGAAAAAAGGTCAGCCATGTAGGAAAGCATGGCCACACGCAGAACACCAACCATGTCTCAGTGAAGCTAAATTTTGATTCATAAATGGAGCATAAATGTCAAATCATTTCCCAAACTTGTTGTTTTTTTAAACGAGTTTTAGCTATATATAAAATCATTAAAGATTCTGAAAGGTCCTAAAGCACAAAACATATATGATACACTAAAACTCAGAAGTAAACAGCTAAAACAAAGACTGAATTCTCCCCTCATGTTATACTTTATTTTCTTGTATTTATATTATTGTTTTTATTTTAAAATTATCTTATAAATTTCTATTTTGTTTATTTATTTGGTTTTATGTCTCTGATGTTTATGTTAACAGCTCTCTTTAGCAAGTCTATGTTATAGATATACTTCAATTTGTGTGAAGAGATGTTCCCCCTGGCTATATTTTCTATGTAACCTGACTTGGAGAAATTAACTCTATGCGGATATGTTTGTCCGTAAATTTTGAAGTTTTCAATAAAAAAAATAAAAATAAAACATGTCTCAGTGAACCAGACCAGCAGCAGCCCTAACCGGACCCTCTTGTTGATAGAGTCCAACCTGCATGAGAATTTAGATCTACTGTACAACATGTCCTCCCAAAAAGCTTTACATTTCTCCCCTTACTAGCTTTGAATTGATAAACTTATTTGGATAAAGGATGAAACATTTACCCTCAACTAAATGTTCAGCAGAAGAGGAAGTGGACAACATTTATTGTTTTACTGTCATTACATTATTTGACTCCAAAGTAATTGTTACAAAAAATCTTTAACTACTCTGCTTAAAAGCAAACAGAATGGGTCCTCTCCTCATTGGCTTGTTAGAGAATTTGAGGATTTTTATAAAAAAAAACAGACAAAAAAAAAAACTTGGTATTTCTGGGATCAGCCAAAAAAGAAGAACAAAATATTTTTTAAATTCAAACTTAATTTTTTATTCATTACAATAGAAAACACTAGTTTGCATTTCAATCATAGGAAAAGTGCTTGAACCAAAGAACAAAACACATGATCATAAGAAAAAAAACCCAGAATATTTATGGGAACTGACTCTCCAGCCACAGGTAGGGAGGAGCTTCCATTGACCAGCAATGTTTTCTTCGTTCTGTTTTCACTCAATGCGACAGAAAAACCATGAGGTGCAAACAATGTGATATGTTGTTGTAGTGGTGTCTTAAAGTCAGAGTAAGGTCTCCTTTTCCTCCCTTCTTTTCAGCTCAGATTCTTTTACATGATGGGATAGCTGGCCAGGTTGGCGATGCCACACAGATTGCCACGGTTACGTGCCATCAGGACGTACCCTTTGTTACCCCAGTTCTCTCCCCAGCTGTCGGGACAAAACAAAGAACAGCATATATTGAACATGGACAGGTGTGAACCAGCGTTTCACTTCATCAGTTTGTCAGAACTGGACATCAACTGACAGACATCCAATCACCAACATAACAGGAAACTCTGCCTTCATTTAGTTTGCACCGAGAGCCACCTGATGCCGTTCAGAAAGCAGGGGATCCTCACCTGTTCTTGACGATCCAGAATTTCTTTCCCCTGGTGTTTACACCGTAGCCAACTGCAAGCACGGCATGATTGATGTCTTCTTTATTGCAGTTGGGGTCATGGTAAATGCCTGGGAACATCAACAAATAAGAGATACACAACTTCTTCCTAAAAGTCCATGAAACTTTTTTAGCTTACAACAGAATATGTTTAATTCTTTTTTTTTGTAATTTAATTATTAGGTATATTATGTAAAGTATGATAAAAAAATCAACTTTCTGTTTCTATGTTTAACAAACATTAAACTTTTACTGAATGTCATCTCAGCTGTAACTGACCTCGCTGGTAGAACTGGAAGGTGGGCTGGGTGGCGTCGATGCCCACAGACACTGGGCCCACTTTGAAGAGTGCCACTGCCAGCGCTCGCTCATTACCTTTTGGCACTTCTTTGTAGCCTTTGATCTGGGCAGCCATGCCTGAGGAGTTGTAGCGGCAAGGCTGGTCCTGCAGACACAGCACAATAAGAGGAACTATTGAGTTAGCTGCAGCCACTTCAAAACTTAACAAAAATATATTATTTAGCTTTATGCAGTCATAAATAGGTGGAGGAATTCCTAACAAATACATATTTTTGAAAAGCATTTTTTTAATATGAAGTTTCAAAATAAAAGTATATAGTCACACCCACAAAACCCGATTGATCACATTCCGAAAGCTCAAACAATTAAACTCCCTGGAATTACAGAAGAGGAAAAGTTTGTTTGCTTGTGGGAAATTTCTTTCTCATCATCGACAGCCAGTCACGAACTCTGTCACGTGTTATCTTATGTTTTACTTATTTTTTTTTTTTTCCTGCTTATGTAAGATTAAGACATGCGAATTGGTCAGTGTGCCAATGTCACAGACAAAAGGAAAACTGTTGACCTTTACAGTTTCACTCTGAATATGAACCTTACTGCTAGAAAAAAAAAAAAAAACAGTAGCCTTTTCCTCTTTCAGTAAAGACATTCAAAACCACAAAACTAAGGTCATCAGAAATGACCAAGTAGGGTTTAAACAAAATCAAAGCAAAGCTTGATCATATTTGAAAGATTCCTCTAAAGCTTAATTAATTATACATATAAATGTAAACAAGGTAAACATGTTTTGAAAAACTCTTAGAGATCTAATTGTACGCTTGGTGCTAAAAATGATTTATTTGTTTATAGACACAACTTTCTGCATTGCAGAGATGGACATTATCACTTTTCTCACCTGTCCAACATATGGGTAGGCTTCCTCAGAGTCAATGCCTCCGTTTTCCTCCACATAATTGAAGGCGTTGGTCATGTACCCTCCTCCACAGCCGTCATTCTCCTTGACACAGTCCACCAGGTTCTGAGGGCTGAGGTCAATCACCTGACCTGTCTTCTTTGCTAGCTGGCCCTCAAGTGCCCCGGCAGAACTGAAGGCCCAGCAGGAGCCGCAGGAGCCCTAGTATTAGGAATATGACAGAGAGCACATGTTTAATTAAATGATTCTCATTCTGCTGTTCAGAATTATGCTTTTTAACCTGAGTTTCTTTAACAAAAAGAGCAAAGATGAAAACCTTTAGTCGGCAAGTAACTTTGTGCTGTTTAAATATAAAAATAATCAGCACCAATTATTGTGATGATTGTTGTTGCTAATTTAAATGATTTTTTAAAAATCGGATTTTTCTAAATAAAACAATGTCAAGCACAAAGAAAGATTTTTTTTTTTTTCAGAAAGCAGTGGTTGCATTCTACTGCCTGACCGTTAGAGGGCAGAGTTGGATAATATATTTTGCTTCAGATTAAAGCTAGCCTTTGCAATAACAAATCAAATTGATTTTGTGTTGGTTTTGTGCATGAATAATTAAGTGCATATCTATGGTACTGTATGTATCACACAATTAAATAGATTTAAGTCTATCATCCTTATGGACGTAGCTCAAAATATTCAAATCAACAAAAAGCTTCAAAGAATAATGCTGTTTGCAGTGACTCCGCCCTGAAATTGTAAATTTCCACTGATAATTTAACCATATATTTCTAAACCGCTCATTCTCTGCAAAAAGATCAATTTAATAAGCGCAGCCACATTCACGTGTTGCTCTGATCAGACTTTTTGGAAACGAACAATATTAAAATTTGTTATATTCGAACAAAGAAAAAAATCAAGTCATAGGAAGCTGCTGAGAATGAAGCAGCAGAGCTGTTAAGATGCAGAAAATGCAGTCATAATGTTGAATAATTCATGAACAGGAAGAAAAGGAGACGCTTAGCACAACCTAGTTATACAGCATCTGCAGTGGCGAAACTTAACCACCAGGGGGCATAACATTTTAATTTTTTAGTAAGACACTTGGTAAATAAGTTAAATTCCTCATCTTAGAGTTAATGAATCTAAATCAAAACATTAAAATAGTAAAGAATGATATCAAGATTAATTTTAAAGCAAAACATCCCTGAGAAATTAGAATAATTTACATTCAACTGGTTATTTCCCCTAAAAATCAACCATGGAGGATTTTATAGGAAATATTTTCTATAAGTTTGTCTTTGGGGTATTTCTTGGCATATTTATTTGTTAGTTATTAAACTGGGAAGAGATCTGGTTTGAAATGTTTACCTGAAAAGTTTAGCATAACCTTTAAAAAAATGCATGACCTAAATATTTATAGGTCCCCAGAAAATAAGCTGTTTTACACATTCTCTGAAATATTGCTTTTAGCATCTTTTTTTCTTTTACAGGAAAACAAACAGTATTGTATGAAAATAGAATTATTTGCATTAAACATGACAGAAAGAATATTCAGCGACCTGTTTGCTCAGTTTATTACAAACCAGCTGTGATGTTTAACATGGTATTTTTCTGATGCTAATCTGACTGCTCATGGGAACCACAGATGTCTGCCATATTTCCCTCTGTTTTGTCCACTTCCTCTTCTGCTGAACAATTATTTGCATAAATAACCACTGGCTGTTCAATCCTCTCATGATGACTAATTAGGTTTTATAATCACAGCCTGGTCTTTGTTTCTGAAATCCATTAGCGAAGAGCCCAGGCCCTCTCTGTTATATGGGTGGCCCCAGACTGTGATAATGGCTTCTAACAACATCTATAGAGTAAACGATAGTTACAGCTGGAAATATGTATTTCCAGGTATTTCTGAGGTTGTTGAAAATATTATTCACTTCCACTTCCCTTTGAAAGCTGAAAAGCTGCTGTTCTTCACAGGTCATGAAAGCCTGCTGACGATTTTCTATTCTATCTGTAACACCTTTTAAGGGGATTTCACATTTAGTTCCAAGAATTTATTTGCATTCTTTTTACTTCCCATACAAATTCCCTCTAAATCATCCAATCATCCACTGGATTCCATACCAATCGACATTTCTAGGTCTTTTAAATTATTTTTTTCGTAGACATTAAAATCGTGAACAGACTAGGCACATCCCGCCGGGAGGAGGCCCAGGACACGCTGGAGGGACTATGTCTGTCGGCTGAACGCCTCAGGCTTCCCTCTAGTGAATCTGAAGGAGGTCTATGGGGGAAAGCGAAGTCTGGGCATCTCTGCTGAGACTGCTGTCCCCACGACCCCCTTCCAGATAAGTGGGAGACAAGTACAAATAAACAGCTTCTCACCTTCAGATAATAATTTCCTATTTCAGATACAAACACACTGGTTTTGATGCAGCAACAAAAAACAAAAACATTTTTCACCAGATCCACACCATTATTTTGGATTAGTCAACAGCAGCTTCCATTGGGGCATAAATAATTTGCAAACAAAGGTGCAGTTATGCAGTTTTGCTGCTCTAAAGTAACTGATCATTAACTGCAAAGTTGATGATCAACAGATTTCTCAAACTGTCGGTCTTTTGAGTCACGTTGCAATTTAATTGAGACACAGGGAATCTGTGTTTCCCTCTATAGCTTAAAAAAGAACAAATAAATCCATCTGTGATTCAAATGCATCTCTTTTCCTATTCCATTTTAATCATCATAAGATTGTTTTTACTGCCTTGATCCTCATAATGTGGAGATGTAGCCCTAGCACTGACTCTCTCGTTGCAAGTTTGTTATGATGAATATCCCTCCTTGCTATCTGTCTCTTGTTGGTTTATAAAGGAAGACAGATTATGGTCCAACCAAATACAGCCAATCAATAATAACTGTAAGTCTGAGTGGAAGTGCGTCAAAAGTCACAATGATAAGTGCTTTAGTGGTGGTATTAAGGAAGGAGATAAGGAAAGGAAGCAGGATGCTTCCTATCGATAGTTCATTTAGCAAGCGGAGCTCCTGCCATTTGTATCAGGAGCTTATGAACTATATATGTCACAGAATTGATAAAAAATAAATTCTTTTTTTACTGTACTGTGTGTGACACTTGCAAATGTATAACCCTTCATATGTGTTTGGTTTTATAATGGAGAGCTTCAGTAAGTTGCTGCATTTGTCTTTTTTCCAGAAGGATGCTTGACTAGCATCATCCATGTGATTTAATGATGTGGGAAAGGATAAAGGGGATAAAGGATAAATCATCAGCTGATGTCATTTAAAGATCAAAGTTACCACCAGTTACCATAGTTACCATAGGTACCACAGAATACATGTCAGATTAAATAATACTATTATACTTCAGCGATAGCATCTAGGTGTTACTTTATTGTGTGTCTCGTGCCATGTCCGTTGGTTGTGCTGTTCTTTTTACATCTCTTTGCAGGTGATGAAGCAGACTGAAGATGTTTTATCGTTATCTCCCTTTTATCTCCTGTTTCTTTCATCTTTTTCCCTTTTTTCTGTTTTTCCTTTCCTCTTCTACTTACATTGCAGTGTCCATATAATCTGTAAAACTTGCTGCATGAATTATAATAAAGCTACATATACATATATATATATATATATATATATATATATATGCATAAATCAAGTGGAACACTATAGTGATAACCATACTGCTCCACTTGTGAAAGTAAAATCTGTTGGGCTCTTTTTGGCATCAATACATTTATTCTTATTGCAACATTGCCAGACAGGATACAATTAAAAAAATAAAATAAAATAAAGATCAAAGTTACCAGTAGCTAAGATTTGTTGAAGATTTCACCTATTTAAATTTTTTTTCTCTTCTGTTTGGCTTTAAGTATAGACCAGCTAAGTGGACTTTTGCACATTTTATAACATTATATAAATGTTCTTGGATTAAATCCCTCCTGAGACCTTTCTGCGTTTGCTATGTTATAGAAAAAGGCAGATCCCAATGAGATTTATTACATCTGTCTTTTGTTTTTCTGACCTGGTTTTTCACTGCGGTCACCATGCCCTTCTTGCGGTAGTCGACAGATTTGGGAAGCCTGGACACAGACTCATCAAATGCCATAGTGAAGCTCCTCTCGTGATCCATTGGGACCAGTAGGCCAGTCATCTTCTCAGCCACTTCCTCAGATGTCTGCAGAAACAGATAAATGATGATGAATAGTTACATTGCTCATGAAATATTAGTATTTTAAATAATCAAAATTTATTCAACTGATTAAACTTAGTCAATTTACTTTACCACCTTGACAAAAGAAGGTTAGCAGGCTTCTTGAGATGCGTTCGATAAATAAAAATGTTAAAAGAATGAGTGAAAAGGCAGCGGAGTGATTCATTCTCGGAGTAGTGATGATGACAAGTAAAATGAGATATGGGAGAGGGAGAAATGGATTCAACAAAGGGGACAGCGGATGAAAATAAAGCAAGGGAAGGTCCAATGAGGGTTACTATGTAATCCTAATAATTTAAGTTTTCCCAACATCAGTTAAAAACAGATTAAGTTATTAAAGGTATACAAGAAGAAAAGGTTTGTATAAAAGACAGTTGGGGTGATGACAGGTTATTTCTGGTTTCATATGTGGCTGTGTTAATGGCAGCTGATTAGATGACATTCAGTGATTATTTCCTCCTTTTAATCCTATCAGTTTCACATCGAGTTTTCAGCTCAGTCCAGTCTAAAAACAGCTACTGTAGGATTCGGTAACACAGCCCATCTGTTGATCTCCTTTATTGAATTTGATGTATTTCCTTCAAAATGAAAACAGGAAGACATTCATTTACAGCCACCTGTTCTGACACAAACATAAATTAGTCATCAAGCTGGAATTCATATGAGAACATGATATGCCTCCAGCAAAGGCACCCACAGCCTGGTATGCTGCACTTAATGAAGCCTGCCCTCCAATCAGTTTTGATCAACGACATGTTTTAGCAGGAAGCTAGTTATGCACAGACGTGTCACTGATTTTAGCAGACATGGCAAAAGTACTCACTTTCCGTACTTGAGTAAAAGTACAGATACTTGTGTAAAAAAATACTCTGGTAAAAGTGGAAGTACTGATTAAGCTTCTTTACTCAAGTAAAAGTAACAAAGTATAGGCTTGTAAATTTACTTAAAGTATAAAAGTAAAAGTAGAAACCATTTTTTTCATGCCGTTGCCTGCATTTTAAATGGATGTCTGCCAATAGGACTAGATCTCCGTTGTGTTCATTTTCAATCATCTCGTCGTCCATGCTACTATGCTAACGCCACCGCCACCAAGCTGCAATGATTTGCCGCGAATGAATACCGCCGAATCTGTCGATTCATCTTGTAGTGGTGCGTCAAATGCAACGTAGATTCCCATCCAATTAGATTGAATTTGGTATTTGATGACGTGAAAAATAATAACGGTAACTCCATTGAAATGGTTCAAAACTAAAGTAACGAGACAATTTTTTTAAATGTAAGGAGTAGAAAGTACAGATATTTGTGTAAAAATGTAAGGAGTAGAAGTAAAAAGTCGCCATAAAAATAAGTAGTAAAGTAAAGTAAAAATATCAGAAAAATCTACTTGAGTACAGTAACAAAGTATTTGTACTTCGTTACTTCCCATCTCTGGATTTTAGACAGCTTCTGCATCTGCTCAGCTTGCCGGTACATGACCTAGGTCAAAAAAAATAAGAACTGATAGCTGGATATGACAGGTAGAAATTATATGGTGAGATAAGTTGTTGATTGACATTTTATGTTTTTTTTGGGGGGGGGAGAAGCCTCCAATGCTCTCTGTACTGGAAAAAATCTAAATCTAGATTAGTCATTTTTTCTTAAAATCAGTGCATTTGTTCTTGGATTGAGGAGGTAAAAGAGAGATTTTCCAAATGGAACAAGACAATTTACACAAAAAAAAAAAAAAAACAACACAATTGCATTATCTTATTTCAAGTGCCTATGATCTAAATATATTATTTTAAGAGTAAAAATACTAATTCCATTGGCAAACTATCTCATACTTACTGAAATGAATGGTAAATACACTTAATTTAAGAAATGTTTACTTATTTCAAGATCGTTTTTCCAGTGTGTAAGTGTAATATTACAGCAAAACCAGTTTAATCAAAATTAAGCCAAAATGCTGTTGGTGTTTTGGACATTCTTAAAAAAAAATCTGCGACATCAATGCTGCAACATCCAGTATATAATGCATGGGCTCTGCTAAAAGTGTTATTTCAATCTGCTGCAAAGACTGATAATAACTTTAACTTATCTCACACTATGCCTGACAGATAGTCCATCTGCACTGATTAAGATTCACTGAATTTAACATGCTTTCATGGATTTGATTTGTGCATTTATTCATAAAGCTCTTTATAAATTAAAAGGCAACCAAAGTTGTGTAAATATGTGCAGCAAAATTAAGCAGTAACAGAAATAAAGGAACAAAGGACAGGTCAAATGGTCGTGCTCTTTGGGGTTAAAACTGATTTAAAAAGATGTTTCTAAAGAGACTTTAAAGGATTTTATTTTCCAGCAGGCCTCAAAACAAATGTGACATTTTTATATGGCATCATAAAGGATGTGTGAATGTTTGAGAAGAATCTAAAAGTTTAATGAAGATTGCTTGTTAAAGGAAACATATATCTTAATTTCTTTGTTAATCGATTACAGATTAGAATCAGTATGTTGCAATTAGTATGCAAGGCATGTTCTACTGGGCTGAGCCTGAAATGGTAATCAGCGATAGTCACAGATGTGTTTGAAACAGAGCTCCTGCCATAGAAATGCAGACAATGGTGAATAAACGAGGAACCTGCTGGGTAGATGAGGAACAGATAGATTTTTTTTATTTATCTATTTTTTGTTTTGCTTTTTTCATCTGTCTCTGGGTAAAAAACAAAAAACAAAAAACAAAGGTAGCTTTATTGAGATGATTACATGTTAAGTACGTATTTTTGTTATAGATAAAGAAATAACAGTAACATAGCCTTTACATACCATGTCTCCCAGTTGGTTCATTCCCAGCTCATAGGAGTGCATGCCCAGTGCTGCCTCCTGGTTATGAGCCTCAATCATTCGCATGTTCTTCTCCCAGATGGCTCTGCGGATCCCCTCTTCATCCTGAGGCAAACAAAGACAGCTTTCAGGCCCATGTGTCAGTTTTAAAGAAAAAAAGGTGCCCATCCCCTGCAGCCACATAGATAATTTTCATCATTTGAAATTCCTTTTCAAGCATCAACTTTTTACTTATAATTTCTGATGCTTTGCCAAAAAACTGTCGAAAAAATCATTGACATTAAAAATAGCTTCATTTAAGCTGGTGTTAATGAAATCACAAGAGGATGTAGAAAAAATATGTCTTGGTAATAAAATGAAATGTAGGAAAGCAAATGTAATTATCAAGGGCTAAATAACAATGGATGTCCGATACAACTTCCCATTTTAAAGCTTAAATAGCAGCTAACCTATTACACCTGCAGGCTGCAAATCCATTACTTGGTGACTATAATAAACCAGCAAACCAGGCTGCGTAGAAGAGAGAGATGTTTATAGAAATGCTGACCTACATTTGGTAAACCACACTATTATTATGTATGGAAAAAGAAGTAAAATAGAAATACATTTAAAAAGGTGCAAGACAAAAAGATTAAATGTACTATTTCCCATCTGTATAAAGAACTGACAGCAGATGCAGGCCAAATTGGGCAAGCAGGGCAAATTTAATTATAATCAGCCTGCTGGAAAAAGAAAAAGCTTCCTTGTGTTGTAGCCTAATTCTGTTAATTAGGCCAATTTAACTGGCGATTCACACAGTAGTATTCTCTTAAACAAATATTCTAAATCAATTATTTGTAATTTATCCACCAGTTATGTTGCTACTTAATGTTGTGCCTCAATTTTGCCTTTTATCTATATGATGGAGATAAAATGTAACCAATGGGTTTTGGGATATGGTGCTGGTGGAAAACATCAACCATTTCTCTGGTTAGGCTATTATGAACTATTAAAGCCCTGAATCAACTGCTATGCATATCTGCATAACTGGATATTTTTGGAGTCCCAGAAAATGAAAGTGATGCTTTTCGATTGCTGGACTGGTTTTAACAGCTATGGCTGCCTGCATGAACATATTGTAATGGGGTAGGCTTCAAAGTGGACTCTGGACATCTCTAAATGATTCTTAATGGTACTGCTGCAGGAGGAGTTTAGAACGAGTTAAGGAATGCTGAAAAAAAATTGCATCATGACACGATTTAGATACTCTGTCAACCACATTAGACTGCAAATGGGTTTTACACAACATTAAACATTTACAGTTAAAGCAACATAAAACACATGCCAACATTGTCAACATTAAAAGAAGAGTGCATGGCACAGCCAACATGCGTCTACACATACTGACACAGTGCAAGCACCAACACACTCACAGCTGTGCAGATATGACCTCTAGCTGGAGGTGATGCACAAAGAGGGATGACTGATGCTCAAAAAGCACTGATAAAATGAATTTACAGTCAGGTCTGCTTCTAAACCAGCCAAACCCCATTCCCTTCCATCTTCACACCCCATAACTTCAAAAACAAAAGTTATATGACAGAGGATTTGAACCTTAGCTTGTGAAACCGAGAAGGGATTAAAAATGGGGCAGAAAGTAAGTTAGAAGTGATGGGAGTTTTTCTCTGTTGGGAATTTTCCGACACCTGCTCTGACGCTTCCACCATCAGAGCATAAAAAAAAGGATCCAAAAATTAGGCTAATTGGATTTTCCCTCATCATTTTAGATGATTGGAGAAGAGTTACAATATTATAACTTTAAAGATAATTGTGACTTTTATCTGACAAATATTATTCCTTTTACTCATTTTTACTTCTTTTTTTCATTATCTATCATCATTCTAAATTACCGGTAAGGATAAAAAGAAAAGAAAATATTACAGAGTAATAATAACATCTCATACTTTACGTCCTGTCTTACTTCTGTTTGTTCGGGTCTGAAACAAACAGCACAGGTTTTATTCCTCATTTCCCCTGCTGACATTGTTTCCTTCAGCACTTACCACCCAGAGTTATTATGCATCTTATTAAAACCACACACTACTCATTACTGTTAAAGAACAAAGGCACACTGTGGTGAATAAGCAGTTTTTTTTATTAGAATTGCATTGTGAATACAACGATTCACTGGACTGGTCCAAGAGGAAGACTTATATGTACCGTCATCCAGTCGAGATTAATATTGATATTATATGATCATATTTTTAACTGCAACAAAACTTTGTGCTGTAGGTTGTTGCACAAGCAAAAATCCACTTAGTGTTGCTTTTTTTAAATCTAAAACACCTTAAGCTGCTTTTATATTGGATGTTGCAGTTGTGGTTTAGTTATTCTGAGAGGCGAAGGTGCAGACAGATGCAACACCGGGGTCCAGGTTCTGCACTGCTTGCTGGACTAAACCCGCAACCCAGATGGAACAGACTTACAGGAACTAAGAGGGTGTAAACTTGTTTCTTAACAGATGAATTGTATTATATATAAAAATTTATAGCAAAGAAGAAAGGGGAAAACAAAGTTTCCAGATCAATAGAAGAATGCAAATTGCTACCTTAAATATGCAGAGTTCCTTCACAGTTAGACCGTAAAAGGTGGCTTCAGGGTAATATATTCAGAAAACTTGCATAAAATTTGAAAAGCTCTCACCCTAATGTCATCTTTTTTAATTCTTCTTTCCACTTTGTGAAGAACTTTCCTAAATGTTGCCTTGCAAAAACCAGGAGCCATAAACAGAAATCAACAAATCCAAGGGTACGCTGCAACTGCTTTTAGGCCCAATTATTCACCATTTTTACTAATCTGCACATATTTAAACACTGAAATTATGTTACATTGAAGTGAACCCATCTGTGTGACATCTCATGGTTATTAGCTACAATGGGTTTTATTTAGTGGTATCAGAGCATTTGTAGCTAAATAGAAATCAATGCCCCATTTTGGTAAGGTTGAAAAAAAAATATTGAGCCCTCATATTAACCTTAGTGAAGATCATAGAAATGGGCTTTTTTATTTTATGCAGAACAAATATGTAGATTTTAAGTATATATAAGGAATTTGGTTGACATACAGTATAAAGTGTTTATTTGACTTTTTATATCTTCAACATCGGAAGCATCAGAATATTATATAAATTCAGCAAATAAAAAGTCTTACTAAACCAAAAAAAAGATAAAAACGAAATAGGTTGCTGCAGGTTACAAAGGAGATGTTGTAACGAATTCCAAGCTTGTAGGTTTAGATATGATCTCCTGGTACCCCTTAAGATTTATTATCAGACACTTGCTTCTTTTTTTTCACATAATCTTCATTCCTCCGTCAAAAGCTTCAGTGTCAGACAAGAACCGGGAAACAGAGCTTGTTTTAACAGGCACTCACCAAGCCGTTATATTCTCGCCGATGTGTAATCTTCCATTGCTCCCACTGGGCTTCCAGAGTGGTTTCATCAATGTGGCCCAACGCTGAGACAGCCAGCAGCAATACACACACATACCAAAACATCCTGAAAGTAGATGTTAATGTTAAGTTAATGTAAAGTTAATGACTCAATATTTTTTGCCCATTTCAATCATTTCTATCAACCTTTTTGGTAATAATGCATTTAGATCTAGAGCTGCAGCTGAAACAATAAACCCTCCTCAGGATTTTTCCCTCTACTTTTTGTGGTCACATGATAGTTTCGTTCATGTGCTGCTGAACAATGAGCTAACACCATACTTGTATATTTTGGTATCTTTTAGAACAAACACTAATAACTGTCTTCAAAGCAAAAACTTATACATTTTGCAATATAAAATATACTTTATACGTTATCTGTAATAATTTTAGAGGTAGCTAGAGAATAAAAATAAGGAGAAGATATGGAACCCGTGTAAATCAGAGGAACATTTTCTCTCTCTGACTCTACATAATATGTACAAGAGGATTAGAATCTAACTCCTGGTGTTAAATGTTTGGTTTTCCTCTCAGATATGTTTGCCTGAAAGGCTTTTCAGCACTCCCAGCTCTTTGCTTTCCTACCATCTGCCTTTCATCAAGTCTTTTTATGACACTCTGCATCTGTTTATAGTTTCCGGTAGAGGGCCCGTATCTTTCAAGGGTTATTTCAACTGAAAACAGGAATCAGGCTGTTTCCTTTAGTTTTTAAGAAGTGCACACTTTTACATTGTCTTCCTTCCCATTGCTATAGCTTCACCTTTGTGCTGACCTGGTGAAGAGCTTTGCCTAAAAAGCCATTGTGTATTTAATTAGCAGCGTGGGCACTGTGCCTCTGCATGAGTCACATGAATTCTCCCCCTGAGGTTTCTTTTATGTTGTAGAAATTAATTCATATTTTTCATGGGTCATTTATATATATCTTTTTTTGCATTTTTCCATCTATGTGTCAATTTTATAAGCAAAAGTCAAAAAGTCGCAGTGGTAAGACTGAGGTTCTTACTTTTGAAAATCTCCCTAATGTGCAGCTGAGTGAAAGTCATTCTCCAGTTTCAATCCTTCTTAGTCTTATCATGTTCTTATCTGGAGAATACACTTATTAAAGAATGGGCGCTTAAGTTCAAACATAGAAAACTTTGAACTTAAATTCCTATTCTCTGTCTCCCAGTCTTTTGTTGTAAATCTTTTCCCTGCAATGAAATAGGTTTGACTTCAGAGACCGGTTTATGACACTAGACAGCCAGCTCTTAGTCTCTACGACACAGTGTAGTTTCAAACTGATTAAAACTGCTCTGAGGTGAGCTCCATTCAACACAAAGACTTGACAATACTAAATGTGAGAAAATCTATGATAGTCAAACCTACCTTGGTTCCATAAGTTTGAGAGTCCTCTGAATCTGAAGCTCTGTTCCTTTGTTGCTAAAGTAGGTCAGTGTGCAAGTTTATAATGGCAGGATTTTAAGGAAGTATAATGGGAACACCGTGTCTGGGGAGGAGCTTTATTTTTTCCATACGGGGAAGTTACATTTGGTTTTAGCTAAAACAGCTGGATGATGTCAGGTGTCAAGTTACACAGGAATGTCTGAACATTTACAGACACCATTGAACGGCTGTACATTCGGACTTCTGCATGAAAAACAAGAAAATCATCTTTTTAATGTTTTGCAATAATTCTTATTTCTTTAATTCCATTGTAATTAATCTGGCAGATAAGAATCAGAAAAGCTTTATTGCCAAATTGTAACTTAGACGCACAAGGAACTGGCTTTCATAATAAAGTGCTACTTACAAACAAACACGCAGTTGGCATAAACAAATGTAGCGATATGTTATTTTGCATAAAGAATGCAAATTATATAGGAATAAGAGAAGAGAACAATAAATACAAATTTGGTGTTATTTTTTGAAACTGAGTTTCTTAAATCACTTTCATTTTGGCTACTTAATGAACTTGAAGTCACATTTTTTTGTCAATACCAGAGATTCAGCTTTGTTACCTCATGACTAATTCTGGATTTTTGGAGACTACATTGCAAGTAAACCTAAACTGATTAATTCAGTCTCTACCAACTAAGAGGAGCTGAACATATTAATATACAAACTCTAAATGTACTACTAACTACACAATATTATTACATCCCATAACCACATGAAACAATGACGTTGAATGAACAAAATATGCAAGGAAACATTCTTTTCTCAGTTTTCATCCTTTACAGTATCTATACTTTATTATTGTACTCCATATGAAATATGAAACAATTGTGTTCAATTTCAATAGATGCAACAGATTCATTTTTTTTTTACAGTACAGATGGAAAGATGCTGTTACCATGGCGAAAGAAACAAGTGAGAGTTTGGGACAAGTAAAGTAAAGACTTTGATTACTTGGAATTTTCTGAGAACAATTTCATTAATTTCATTCTCTCACTGCATATTATGTTTTGTTTTTTTCCTTTAGGTGCATGTTATCAGATGAGAAAGCTTTGAGCAGCATACTTTAATGTCTACACTGTGAGGTTCAATAGAGGATAAAAAATTACCAGATTCATCATTTCAGACCAAGCTGTTAAGTTTGGCCTCGTACTGCACTTTTGCTTAATTCAAAAACATAAAAAAAAAATAAAATCTGATCACCAGCATCATCAGCTACGCAGTTCTTAAAGCTACATGTTTGCATTTAGATATGATAAGATGATTTGTAAGCTATGTATGCAGATAAATGCTTAAATACAAACAAACATGAATAAAACTGGATATAACTTAGAAGTGGAAAATTAAGCATTTTTTTTGTTTAATGTTGATATAAAGGATTAAGGTAATCAAGCCTTCTGCCAGTGATTTTTAAGTCGGATTTTCTGCACAACAGCTTTTTTAATGCCGTTGTTACTGGTCAAAGGTGGACCTAATGTGGGTCAAATCCAAATTATCATGGCGGCAAAGTCAAGGCATATAAGAATTACTCATAAGATCTGGTGGAAATAAAATCCCACAGCAGGATTCAAAATAAACCTGTTCCATATTCATATTGCATGTCTTTCTGCTGTCATGTGGTCAAGCACTTCCTTGTCCTGGAAGTCATGTGTGTATATATGAACATGTCGTGTGACTTCCATTGTCATACAGCAGACTAGGTCATGTAGTCACTGGTCTAAATATAAGAAGATCCGCTATGCCTCATATGTCCAGTGATAAATGACTGTACTGCAGCTGGCTGATCTTACATGCATTCGTACCTCCATCAGCAGATATAGATTTTAAATAAAGCAGCATTAGTAAGCAATCCCCATCAGACTACTATTACACCTGCCATCACTTCTTGAACGTCTCATTCATTCATTATTCATGTTCATTTTCTTCTTGGCTTCATATTGCTTATCATCACATCTTATTAATGTTTGATCTGATCACAGGTGTTTTTTTCTTTTTGGGTTTTTATTTATTTATTTCAATTTTATGATGCATTTTTAATATGGTGCAGTCATTTATTTCACCAGCAGTTTCAAATCTTGTTGTGCAGAAGTAAACTTTGATATATGAGGTAAATAGCAATAGGCAATACTTTGCCCCAGACTGTCTCTGTGGGGTAATAAGATACCTGAATGAGTTAGTTAAAGTTTAAAGGAAACAAATACAGAAAAAATAAAGAGGTTTTCCTTTAGATTAATCAATATTTTTTTTATTTTAATCTTAATAAGCCAAGGTGGAAAACAAATCATGCATGTTATTTAAGCACTTATATCTGGGCTGCAGAGTAGCTTCTTTTCTTTTGCCTTTTACCTTTTCATACAAATTTAAATATTACCAACGACAAGGTAGTTATCCAGCATTAGGACGATCTCCGACTTTCTCCTCCTGAAATGCGATTGGCCTTATGGAAGATCCCTTTAAGGTAATAAAAAAAAAAAAACTGTACTTTGACCATTGATTCTTGTATTTGAATTACATTTTAAAGATTCTTAGATGGTTCATGCAAAGTTGAGCCTATGCCATCCTCATTGAACTCAATAATAGTGATTGATTAGAGGATGGGGTCACTAAAAAAGTCATCTCAGTCCTGCTCACTGAGTTTTAAAGGTCAAGTTGACAGTTTAAATTATATCACAATACCACTAGTGTACAGAAAGCATGGGATGATTCTAAGTAAAATAATCTTACTTTCATTAAAATTGGTCAATTTAGAAAAAACTAACATTTCACTTTTTCATTTCATAATATAAATGTATTTTGAAATATTTAATTGAACACTTAATTATCTAATGATTTCAATTAGAGACAAATATATTTATTTATTTCATGATATATTCATTTATATAATCAATTTAAAACTAATATTTATTTAAAACTAAGGAAAATCTAGATAGGTATAACTGGTGTACCTAAGCTAGACAATACAAAAAAAAGGAGTTTCACAATGTGATGCTGTAGAAAATGATCCAGAAACTGTTTGAAAATTTAGTCAATGGTCATTTATTAGTGGGCGTAAGTGTAAAATCTAAATGAAACCCCAAAGTATGGTTGTATACTATGTTGTAATGTGTTCCAAGGTTATAGCAAGCAAATCTAAAATGTATCTGGATGTCAGGAGAAAATAAGCACCCATAAATAAATGAATAAAAGAACTGGCTGGTGAGGCTCTGGCTGCACTTCATATTCAATTAACGCCATGAATCAGTTTGTTGAATACATGGTGTTCCTGCTTCTGTTCCCTCTTCCCTCTTTACTATTTGCTGCCAACACTGAAAATGAAAAATAATGAAAAGAAACGATGATGTTTGATTTGGGGATTAAGATAAAAAAAAAAGGCCTGTAATAATGTGGGATAGAATGTGCAGTCACTCATAAATTCTGCTATAATCCACTTTTCCCAAAAGTCGGTCTTACAATGCAGCAAAGATGTACTATACAGGAGTACATTTCCTTCTGAGTTCAAAACCATGTTCAGAAAATATTATTCAAATTCCTGTCTCTGTTTCCTGTCCTTTGTTGCTTTGGGTCAACATAGACCTTGGGTGCTGTGCCGGGATCTCTGTTGTGCTAAGATCTTTGTTGTGTTAAGTGCAGAGCAGGCGAGCAGCTTCAGGCACTTGCTTTCATCACTGACAGCTTTCTATCTATTCGAGCGCCTTTTTTTTCCGTTTCTGCACAGCCCCGCCGGCTTTCTCTTGGATGGAGAGTGCATCTTAAGCTTCTGTAAGACTCTTCCCTCAGATTCCTCCTTGGCCACTTTAGATAATGAAACTTATTCTGCCTGAAATGATCTATCGCCTGGCCACCCCCATCTCAGCTCCAGCCGATGTCATACAGATGGTCATGACCTGAGTGTTTAATTATGTATGAGTAGATAGATTTATTTCCCAATAATTCTCAGAGCTATGTGCTTAGGTTGTAGAATATATTTACATGGCAGTGCTTTTCTCTTTTTAGTATAATGTGATCTCTGGCAGCCTGATCAGCCTCTCTACTTTTGCACAGAACAGGAAGTTAAACCCCTTACTCCACAATTTTTTTGTTGTGGCGTCTTTCTCTCCCTTACAGGCAAAACCAACAACAAATCTGGAAGCAGATCAGGTCACTGCTCTGCTGTAAAAACATAGATAAACTTGCTGACTCAGATGTCATGGGGTTTCAGCTTCCTGCTATTTCGACACCATTTTGGCACCATGAGAGCAGACAGGAATTCTTACATCACTGCAGTAACGTACAACAGCGACATACCATCTTTAATATGAATCCATACCAAGATTCCCTCTAGGGACAAGTTTTGTAGCCTTCAGTTTGTTTAAGCTTTAGAGTGAATGTGCATCAACTCCAGAAAATGTCAAGCCCTTAAAGCTCATGTATGAAGAGAAGGCCCAACGGGTCTTAAACCCTTGTTCGAACTGTGTTCACTTTTCCTTGACCAGTCCAGAGATTAGGCCAGCAGATACCGACAAGGTTTTAAAGGCTTGATTTGATTCCAGACGATTAAACTATGTTGTCTTTTTTTCCCCATCTAAAGTTCATGATTGTTTGGGATTGTCTGATCCACATTTGACCTGTTTTTTTTCCTGCTCAATTTCAATATAAACTGTAAGGCCCAGGGAAGAGAGTGACAAGGGACTGAACTACTTACAGAAAACAAGACACTGGTAAAAACTCCTAGAATGTACAGTTTTATCCATTTCCATGCCAGCTGGACGGAAGGAGAAGTGAAGGCTGCAATCTTTGAAGTCACGAATTTCCAAAACTCTATTCCAAATAGCAGTTATTTCACTTTGACTTCATCTCTCTGTAAGGTACAACGGCAAAAAACAAAACAAAACAAATGAGATGGTGAAGATATTTATCTTTCTAGGTGTGCAAATGAACCCATCCTTAAAAAAATCTGAGATCTGAAATGACACAAGTCTGTTTTTTGTGTATCCAGCAAATCTAAAATCTCTAGAGTTCCTCATAAATGTAATGAAGGCAAGAACACATTTCAATGAATGCATCGTGGCCAAAATAAGAAAAAAGACTGGCTGCCTGAAAACG